GTACAAGTAATCTAACAGTGCAAACCCTGTTGGGGATTTGTTATTTACATTACTAGTTACAACAAATACCAAATAAGCTCCTCTTTTGGTATTGTGAACACCACATACCATAAAGGTAAATAGTTTTCTACTGAAATCTTATTGTACCTATTGCCGGGCAACGTGATTTATCATCCCTCCCCTCAGATATAGCTGTGAGGGACTGATTTTTGCTAAATGATTTGCCTGTCCCAACTTGCTGTCACTATAGATACTAAAAAAATTCTTTCAGTGTTTTACTTCTCCCACATTTCTGTATCAATCAATAAAGGAATTCTAACCGGGTTTCCTACAGATCAAATAATAATAAGTCAGGATATTAAGAAGAAAATCCGCACATTACCTGTCAGTTTTATTTTGTAGACGCCCATTATAAAACGGTTTACCCCAAAAACCACACACAATGAAAATGTGTTTTATATACTTGTATGATTTCACACTACACAAACTCTTAACCATATAACAACATCATATTCCAAACAAGTATTTAAGTGTCAAAACATTTTAGACCTAGTCATAGCTCACATCAAAATATCATAATAGTTACCGAGCATTTCACCGGACTCGAATAACCTAAAAAATTATGTTTAATGAACTGTGCATTTGTAGGATCACTAATAATAAATCATTAAAAAATCAACACCTCCATGTTCTGTCCATAAGAGTCAACTAAAAAGTAAACCAGCAGAGTACATTACATTGATGTTTACAGAACGTTATTCCAAAAATTCTCTGTTATAAAAACTTTAGGAAGGAGGCCTGGCGCGGCTGTCCCCTCTGCACTGACACCCTGGTGTGAGTCTTGGCCAAGATGGTCGGTTGAACTCCTGGATGAGAACAAAGTAGAAAATCTTTAATACATGAACCTTGCATTTAAAAATCCCGACAAAATGAATTTGGGCTGTTTACCTGTACCTGGTAGGAGACTTGTGAAGCAGTTCTCCTTCCACAATCAAGTGTCAGTGTAGCTGTAAGTCTTGGAGAAGGCTCAAAGGCCTTAGGCTGATGAGGGAAATAAATGAGTATATATTAAAAAGAACGAACTCCAAGAACATGTTAGAGCGGAGTCGCAATCCATTGTTTTTTTGGTGAAAAAATGTTGAGTACTGAAAAGGGAACAGAAATGTACTTTCTGTAATCAGCCTACAGTTACAGATTACTGATGCATTCAAAGATAAGACATACAGCAGGCTGTGTGCCCTGTGATAAAAAAAACAAGTGCAAGAAAACACAAAGCGGTTTTCATTTTTGGTTGGAACTAGTTAATTTTTAATGGAAGTAATCTTTCAATGTAACAAGTTACTTTTACAAATGATGTTACCCAGCACTGGTAATGGAGACACTCGCACTGTCACAGATGGGTGGGTGGAAGTCACTTTGAGGACAAGGATGAAAAGACACTTACACACATGATTTATCACATACATTTTATTTTACAATTATTACACAGGCCAGATGGTTGGAGGACTGTTCTTAAGCATTCTGGGCCTGTGCGGCCATCATCCGCTCTTTTTGCTTCATTAGACATTTCCTCGCACTGGCATACGCTCCCAGGTCCCCGTCTGGAAAGAGGCAGGTCGTGAATTAAATGCATTTAGTGGTAGCCAACAGTGAGGATACATAAGACCTCAATGTACATGCAACAAACAATACATGTTTCACAATTTACTGCATTTGTATAATAATGCACATTAAGTGCGATCAAAGCATTTACCACGTTGTTATATTTAGTCAGCAGTGTAACAGGACACGTAGAACTCCTGAATGCTTTTACTTTTTTCTTTCTATTACACAGACACACACGTCCTACTTCCAGCAGCATGGTACTTACAGCGTGACGCGAAGTTGTTGGTCACCTCTTCGAACTGCTGCAATTCTTTGGCGCAGTTCTGCTTGTAGCTGGCTCCTTCTCTATGCTGGCAGGCCCTCATACGCTTCTGGACCACCTTCACAATCTCCTGGTCCACTTTGCTGAAGGACGAAGACGACAACACAGAATGACACTCTTCAAAAGTAAATATATAGGGCCGATAGTGGCACCCTGACCACTACAGCAACCTTACAGGTGCATGAACTCACTACTGAGTCTTTGCAATTAGCACTTAATTTTATTGCTCACCGTTGGCTCATCATGAAAGTTAAAGCTAGTTCTAAAAAAATGCATCATACACTACATGGCCAAAAGTATGTGGACATTGGACATTACACTCATATGTAATTGTTGACCCTCTAATTCCAAAATCCTGGGGAAATAAGCTGCGGTATATAAGCCTCATCCCCATCTGGAAAGGCTTTTCACAAGACTGAGTAACCTGGCTGCAGATATATGCAACCACTCAGCCGCTGCTGTTGGGTGCTAAGGCCTCAAGGAGTTGTTTTAGGTGACAGTTTCCATACCAAACTGAGAAAATCATGTATTTGTGGATCCAACTACGGTTACCTCGCTTTGTGCATAGGGGTATTGTCATGTTGCAGGAAAGGTGGAGGCACAAAGTTGTCCTAAATATGAATTAAATCAAACAATGTGTCACTACAGACCCCCACAGTTCCACCTTCTCTCTTTGCCTTCAAGTGCCCATCAGGTACAGTGCACACCACAGACAACACATTGGCTCCACAAACCAACTCACGCTCGTGTAGTTTTACCCTTACTAAGACATTACAACCACATTTTAACACAGGGCCAGCCCACAAAACAGATGCACAAGTCGCCATTAACTCACCGTATATTGTGTTATAGTGGCGGTTAAACAAAAGATCACAAATAATCTGCAGCTTTAAACAAACAGTTACTTACTAGTCTCTCCTCCACTGCATCTCAGCCTCGTAGTAGCAGACATAATCTCCCTCCTGGCACTCAATCAGGTCGGGGACACGGCGGAAACTCTGGTGGTAGTAGACCAACTTGTTTTTAGCCCGAAAGCTTTCAATAGTATCTGGATAAAAAGGGGTTCAGGACACAGTTAAACCAGGACAACACCTCGAGGTGATTTCATGTCATATGAATGACCCTCGCTAGCACAACACATAGCCAGCTGACTCTCATTATCATTATTATTACCACAAAACAGAGCCCTTGTGGTTGATTTTATGTGATATCCAGCAAGGAAGCAACACTAATAGCGTCGTTATAAAGTTTAAACACACCAACAAGGAGCCTGTCGTAGCTCTGTTGTTGTGCTAGCCTGTTAGCCCAGTTAGCTCCGTTAGCTTCACTTACCTCTAAATGTGGAGACAGGAAGGTCCACGGTGTAATAGAAGACTTTAGACAGAATCAGAGCTGGGTTGGGCAGTGCTGTCTGTTTGTCCACGGCCGGAGTCCTCCGAGGAGGCTCCGGATATGCTGCTTTATCGTAGTCTTCAGGCATTTTCGCCTTCTTTCGACCAAAACCGAGTTCGACCTCGACAGCTCTCCTCTAGTGGCGCATGCGCAGAAGACGCACCGCAATGGCGAAGTAGAGGTCGTTAATGTGAAGTTTTATGGTTATCTTGATACTTCTGGTTATTCCGAAATTGTTATTCAGTGCAAATATTGTGACAAATTAAAAAACTCTGCACAAGCCCACTTGCAGTGTTTTTAAAACACAAAGGTCGAAGGGTAAAGGTCACAGGCGGAGCTGTTGCACTATGGAAATGCAGCAGGTGGTGGTACAGAGCTGACTAACTTTAATGCAAGGCCGCTGGTTCCCAACCGTTTTCATTGAATAAATTGGCGACCCCTGACCAAGTGACATATTTTATAGATATTTCATATTATAGAAAACTGTACAATGAACCCAAATACTGAACTCAATATCTGCAAGTTTGTGTAAAACGAGTCTTTTGGATGAATTTTGAGCAGATTATTTCCTGTTTAGGGAACTTTGTATACAGTTCTCTGTCTGTATTATGTATTTTTTGTAATCATTTTAGACAATCATATCTAACAGGCGTATTTTTTTGACAGATTCAGTGTTTTCTTGTCCCTGATGCTTGGCCATTGTTCTATTACACAATTTACATTTAGTTTTTCTTCACAGAAGTGAACCAAATACTTATATACTTATATTATGTACATTTTCTTACACCCCTTAAAATTATGATTGCGATATCAGTCATTAAAGTGCATGCCGACATTTACTTTAATTTCATTGTGTGAATGATCACAGCACACAACAGCAGCAGAGATGCAAATATTGCAGCACTAAGAAGAATGTTTATGTTCCCAGCATGTTATCCAATATGTGATGGATACATTTTTTTGTCTTGATCCTACTGACACTAGTATTGACACTCAAATAAAGACATTGTATCGGTAGTATCGATACTTTGGGGATCGATCCACTCACCCCTAGCTTAAAGATTTATTTAAAATTTAACATTGCAGCTCTGACAAGCATCTTGCTTGCCTCCTGAAGTACTCGGATACAAATCACTCCAATGCAAGAAAACCTGCTGTAATTATGTGGCCTGATGTACATACATTATAAATATCTCAAATTGCAGCGATTTGTTATCCTCGTAGATCCCCTAGAAAGAGAAAAAGACTGTATATCTCCTACAGCAGAACAGGTGAATGTTGGCCCCTGCTTCCTTTCTCTCTCCTTTCTTGGTCATGTGGTTCCTGTCTACTGGGCCTGCCCACCACCTTAGACTTCTGAGTTTACCCCCTTCCCTCCTCCCTGTCTTCTCCTGACAGAACTTGGCAGAGATATTCTTGTTTGAAAGCGAATACGGCTCCTCAACTGGGCCACGCACCAAATTAGCGAGCTTACGCTGTGTATCATCTTATGTATGACCCTTACACCCACACTGGCCCCTCTCTCTTTCTTTCCCTCGACTGAACAGGCGCGGACATGGTTAGTGCTCCTCATATTTTTGGTTCTTTTCTACTATAAAGGATACATTGGTTTGTATTTTTGTCTGTCTTTTGACTTCTGCATGTGTTCCTGTGTCACTTTGTGTGTGTCACCATCTGGTTTTATAATAGAAGATGAAGCATATTGACAAAGTATCTTGTAATGGCTGCCTTTGAGGAGACCACGTGGAGTACTGACATGGCGACCTCTTTTTATGTGGTGTCTGAGTCTTGGATTTCTGAATCAGGTTGAATGTGACATAAATCAGTGCATACAAATTATGAACACTTGACTTTGGACAGAAAGGAAGCACACCTGAAGAATAACGGACTTGACTCTATTACAGTTTATGCTTTTGATGTCCTGTTTCATTTTATTACAACTTTTGGAGGACCTTAATATCAGAGGATTTGAAAATCTGAGGAATATTTGGGAACAGTTGTTCAAAAACAGGAATAGGACAACATTTTATTGCAGTACAGGCAAGGATTAATGTGTCTTTTTTGATCTACAATTGTAGTTCTTGTGGCATTATTGTAAAAATCATTTGGGCTATATCTCCATGACTTTCATGTAAATAAATAGTGACTCTGTGTGTCCTTTTCCAGTCTCATCGCAAATTCCATGCACCCCGCCATGGGCACATGGGGTTCCTGCCCCACAAGCGTAGCAAGAAGCATAGAGGCAAGGTGCGCACATGGCCCAAAGATGACCCAAGCCAACCCGTCCACCTCACTGCCTTCCTGGGATACAAGGCTGGCATGACCCACACTCTGAGGGAGATGCACCGCACTGGCCTCAGTATGACTGGACTTAAAAAAAAAGATGTTTGTTGTAGATGTTTTGAGTGTTTGAGAGGATAATGGGTGGGGGCCTTATAAGATCAGGTGTTACATGGTACCCCACTGTATTCTGTACAGATTTAGTAGTTTAACTTCTGGAAGCATTAGTATGAAACATTATAATATTATTAACTGTCAGACATAGCCTAAAATTAATGCTACAGTTGTTTCTTTTGCATTTTTTGCCCTTTTTCTTCTGTATATTATTTAATAACCATGAAATGCCACTTACATAATACTGAATACTGACCCAGCAGATTAATATTTTCCATGTTTCTCCCACAGAGCAATCAAAGCGAGAGGAAGTAGAGGCGGTTACCATTATTGACACTCCTCCGATCATTGTGGTGGGGGTTGTGGGATACATTCAGACCGTCCGTGGCTTGCGTTCCCTCAAAACCATCTTTGCAGAACATCTCAGTGACGAGTGCAGACGCAGATTTTATAAAAACTGGTGTGTGATCACACATTATTCCCCTGCACGTATAGCTACACAGTTCTTTCTTATTTGTAAATTGAGCATTTCTGTGTTCCAGGTCCAAGAGCAAGAAGAAGGCGTTCACCAAGTACAGTAAGAAGTGGCAGGATGAGACGGGAAAGAAACAGCTGGACAAGGATTTTGAAAGGATGAAGAAATACTGTTCAGCAATCAGGGTTCTTGTTCACTCTCAGGTAGGCCAGACAGATAACAGAACACAATAATTGTTGTCTCACCCCTCCACTGGTCTAATGATTAGCAGTTATTCACCACATTTCCTGCAATCTCTCGAGTCCACTCCTGCAAAAGGGCAGAGGTGTCAGACTTGATCACATGCAATGGAAAGGAAAAACTGCCACATCCCAAATGCCTCTGCTGCCAAGAGTCAAACAACTCAGGCTATGACACTCTGTCACTGAGCACTGGAGGGTGCCGTTTCAAATAGCAGGTTAAAAATAATTTTCAGGGCTGAACCTGGCTGCTCACCCAGGCTTTACCAAGGGAAAACCTTTATGTTTGCAGCAAACAAAATGAAGATCAGCCATGATCTCAAGTCTTGCTATCATTTCTGGGCAGGTTTCAACTTCTGAATAAAATCTAAATGTGGTTTTAAATACCAGGGCTGTGGTAGTTTCCTGGTGCTTCGGATTTCAATGATGATCTTGTGCTGAATCATAAATCTCATTATAAAAAGACAGGGCTGAGGACATCTTAAAAAGCATAGCAAGTTCAAAGCAAGATGTGTTCTGCTTGTTAGTTAATCCAGAAAAGCCTTTTTAGATTTCTGGACAATTTATGTGTTTCTCCATTTCCAGATGCGATTGCTGCCCATTAAACAAAAAAAGGCCCACATCATGGAGGTGCAGCTGAATGGGGGAAGCATCTCGGACAAGGTGGACTGGGCAAAGGAGCGTCTGGAGCAGGCTGTGCCTGTTTCTGCTGTCTTCTACCAGGATGAAATGATTGATGTCATCGGAGTCACCAAGGGTCATGGCTTTAAAGGTTTGAAACACACTCTGACTAGTTGTACCCAAGGTCCTGTAAAATAAATGTACTCTAATATATACTGATTGCTGGCTCTTTGTGCTGATAGGTGTGACAAGCCGCTGGCACACAAAGAAGCTTCCCAGGAAGACTCACAAGGGTCTGAGGAAGGTGGCCTGTATTGGAGCCTGGCATCCAGCCCGAGTGGGATACACCATAGCCCGTGCTGGCCAGAAGGGCTATAACCACCGTACTGAGCTCAACAAGAAGGTTAGCAGATATTTAAACGGCCAGTCTGTAACATTTGGAAGGATCTATTGCCAGAAATGTAATATAATATGCCTAGGTGTGTTTTCATTAGTGTATAATCACTGGAAAATAAGAATTGTTGTGTTTTTGTTACCATAGAATGAGCTATGTTTATCCACACACTTCTATAGAGTCTGCAATGTTGAACCACCATGTTTCTACAGTAGCCCAGAACAGACAAACGTCTTCACACTAGACCTTTAAAGGTTTCACCCACAAGACTTCATCTTCAGCTGTTCTTAGGTGGAAGAAAAAAGCTTTTATTGAATAATTCTAAGCACTATTCTGAGTATATGTACTGTAGGTAGGTTTACCATGATAATCCTATGTACTATGTGTCCTCAGATCTACCGTATTGGTAAGGGTGTGCACATCCAGGATGGAAAGGTGATCCGGAACAATGCCTCCACTAACTACGACACCAGTCAGAAGTCCATTACGCCCATGGTATTCCTCTATGATTACAATATCCACTAACCAGAATGAATGGATTGGTTACTGCGAGTCTGCCATCATGTACCTGCATGCGTTTCTTTTATTGTGGTTTTGTTTTAATTGTGTCAGATTCATTTGTAGTGTGCATGCTTTTTGTGTCTGTATTTCTGCTTTGCATGTTTCAGTTGTTATGTCAATTCAACAGTGTTGTCTTATTTGGTCTGTATTACTACCAGTACCCATCAGTTTATTGTTTTTGTTTGTGCTCTTGCATATTAAACCTCTGTGTTATGTGTTGCATGTTTTTAATAGTATAAGGGTGTCCAGATTGATGCTTCTATTAACATTAGTATTTTAATTTCTTTTTATTATTGTTTTTCATGCTTATAAATTACTTCCCAATGAGTTGATCTTAGATTCTGAATTCTGTTTTTAGGAATAGCCTCTTAGCTAACTCTGGTGCATTTACAGCAATGTTATTAATGTGCATTGTCCCTGCTAAATAAACAACAACAAAATAATCTATAATCTAGATCTATAATGTGATAACCACATCTGCATATGTTTTATCAATTTTAAATGAAAGGATAAAAGGTTATAGTGCATGTAATGATTCACTATATGTATATAAGGGCTTCATATAAAGTGATAGCAAATTTGTTCCTGAACACTCTTCATTCCCTTTTTTTCATCCCTGGTTCTCTGTTGTCTTTGTATTGTCCCTGTAGGGAGGCTTCCCCCACTATGGTGATGTGAACAATGACTTTGTCATGGTGAAGGGCTGTGTGGTTGGGGCTAAGAAACGTGTCCTCACCCTCAGAAAGGTACAGTGTGATTTTGAAACTTTAATTATAGATATTTCAGGCAGCTTGCAGTATTTGACTTTAGTTGAGGAGACTCTCTCACATGTAGTTTTTTGAATATCTTTGTGTGTTGCTCCCTCCTCCAGTCTTTGCTTGTGCACACGTCTCGCAAGTCGAAGGAGACCATCGAGCTCAAACTCATTGACACCACCTCCAAATTTGGTCATGGCCGCTTCCAGACTGCCCAGGAGAAGAGGGCATTTATGGTGAGTGTGAGAAATGTTTGGCACACACATAAATTTGATTATCAGTGGTAACATAATCACTCTTGAATCCTTCTGCACTGCTTTAACACTGACCTTTGGTTTACCTTCAGGGGCCACTGAAGAAGGATGCCCTGAAAACACAGCCGGAGCCTCTGGTCGAGGAGGCCTAAGAACATTCTCATATCCCAATTCTAATACAAAAATAAAACTCAGATTTAAATACACTGTCTGTTGTTGTAACATGACATTTTGCCTCCACCTAACTGTATGCAGTTTAAGTTCAACAATTAATACAGATTTAAAGTTTTTAACAGGTTTTTATTCACTGATAAATCCTTCGGCACATTAACACTGTTCAGAAATAACATGCACCGTTGATTGAACATAATCATCAGATTTTCATCTCCATATTTTTCATTTATTAGTAACCAACAAAAGGAAAATGGATGAATTGTTTGTTCAACTGGAATTCTTTTAAAACAGTGGTCATTAACGACATCTTGCTTTGACGTGCAGTTAAGACATCCATTTTTTTCAATCTTTTTATCATTGATGTACTCTCACTGTTGTCAGTGTTAGGTACAGTTCAATTAGCTTCACAGTAGGGGACACTGTAGCACCATTCTCGCAGTCCCCATGTTGCTGCCGTGCTCAGCATCCAGCATTCAGGAGGCATCTATCCTGCACTGGTGACAGCGAACATACTCAGGTTTAACATTGAGCCGCTACGCAGCTGCAAGAACCGCAGCCTTAAAATCTGTTAAAGATTCATGGCAATAGCTGCATAATTATTTTGCATGGACATTTGTGGCCTCAGGGGCGCTACTCTGACAGGTAATCCTGGGACTCTATGGAGGACTGGTGGGATGAGGAGTGTACTGAGGACTGGTGGGATGTAGGTGGGTTGTCCAAGCCAGATGTCATCAGGGGCAGATATAGATCGTCCATATTGGGCATGACAAACACTTTCTGTTGAGAGAGGACAACAAATGAATACTTAGTGCGATAATTAAAAGATGGTTCCCAGTTTTTAATACTATGAAAGACGTTTCAGTGATGGACTGACCTGGAACTCACACTGCAGTTTTTTCTCGATCCACTCAGTGATATGAGTTAAGGTAACCTCCCTCTCCCCGAGTGTGGGACGCACATGAAGGTCTAACCTGGGAGGCACCCGGAAACTGTACCTGGGGGAGCAGAACAAGAGAAAAAGACTGTGTGAGAAAGAAAGAACTATAGAAAGAATTTAAACCTTTGAATTTGTTGTATGAAATGAAATGAGAGAAACTAGTACCATATCCTGTCAGTAGGGGGAGGTGGGATGTTGATGGCCAGAGTGCCAGAGAGCTCCAGGACCTCAACGCTGAGCATCAGAGGCATGTTGGACACCTCAGCTATCTTCTTCCTGATGTACTCGTTCTCTGTGGCTTTCTGGAAGTACTTGGACTTCGCTATCTTGTCCACAAACCTCAAGATCTTCCTACTTGTGCTGCCACCAGTGTGCCTGGGGGAGAGTAAGGACGAGGGCACAAATGCAGTGTAGGACTGTGAATCTGAAACTGACTTGGATTGAAACATACCAACCAGTATACAATGGACTGTGTAAACTGTTGTAAAGCGATTGCTGCCCTGGTTTACAATTTATGCATATTTATTATGACAGTAACCTCAACAGCAAGAGCATTTTAATAATTTGGATTTGACTGATATGTTTATCAGAGCACTGTTGTTTCTTTATTGTTCCATAACTAGATTCCTAAACCTTTTTCACAACAGACTGTTTGACTTAATGACCTTAAAGAGGCTGCACTGCATTGCCATAATTGTTGGAGTGCAGTTAAGGTAATTAAGTCCACTTATATAATATATATAGTCCACTTTTCCTGCTGTGTCAAAATGCCTGCAGTTAACATTAACATTATCGGTTAGTCCTGTGCTTGACAAGTCAAACTATCTGCTGTGAAAAAGCAATCTTTTTCACCGTTTAAACAGCTGAATGGCCTCAGACCTTAAGTGCAACTCACTTCAGAAATTGCAATGCAGTTCAGTTTTGTGACCTATGATCCATGTTATATCTGATCTCTGTGGTAGAAGACGCCAAATAAAGTTGTTAATTTACCCTTCAGCTGCTACCACTGTGCTCTTATCTCCCAATGACCCCTGTGGCTCAGAGGGGGGTGCTTCCTCTTCATCAGATGAGCCTGCGCTGGATGACTCTTCATCACTATCGGCCAGTATACACAGCCTGGGCTTCGAGCTGAAAAACACACCAGTGTTAACTCTTGAAGCAAACTACTGAGATTAGATAGATCTCCTCAAGCATGTTCACATCCACCTCCACACTCTCTTTATCTTCTGAGGAATATGAGATGGGCCTCACCCCATTTGCTGGGTCTCTGGAACGCTGTGAGCCTCGTCTTCTCCGTCTTTACCCAGCTTGCACAGGTTCATCTTAGTCTCCAGGGTCATCTGAAGGCAGCCTGTGTACACCAATTCCAGCTCCAGCCACAGACCTGGGGGATAAAGGGAGGGAGGGAAAAACAGCTCACAGGTAGCAGGAAGCGCATCAGATTTCTAAACGAACTTTGATCTAACACCTAAGTATAGTCTGGGGGCTGAGCCAACATCTCTTCTAGATCTGGTCTCTTGTTGTTGCAGAGGGAACATTAGACCAAAAGAGGATAGTTCAGAGATGTTATTGTCAGTTGAGCTTAGTTAAGGCCAAGAGGATTGCTAATCCTGTTCACTTGCGCTTAGGCAGGAGACAATGGAAAGCTTTAAGAGTGGGCATGACAAACTCTGTGCTGAAACAAACTAAATCATGGCCTGAGCTGACCGCAGTGATGTGTCTGAGAGAAGAAATCTGTTGGGTAAACCTTATTTGGTGACTTCTCCATAGACATACTGGAACAGAAAAGAAAAACTAAGAGTCTACAGCCAAGCTAGTGGCCCTGTGGGGCTTTACTTAGGCAGAGCAATGCTTTGAACTTAGATAAATATGAACAATAGATAAAAAAGAATAAAAAGATATTACAGTTTATCCTGAGGGGTAACATAAAGGTCAGAATCAGAAAAATGTTCCAGGTACAAATAGAATAAAAACATTTTATGGCAATCCATTTTAATCAAACCCACAAATGTGAACCTAATTGTGGCACTTGAAGACAAAGTCAAAGGATCACCAAAGTCTTTAACAGTCATCCTCTCCACACAATGGATATTTGTACAAGATTTTGTTGCAACCCCTCCATTAGCTGCTGAGATATTTCAGTCTGGACCAGCCAACAGACACAGCCAATAATCAAAAGAGCAAGAGCATGTTATAGGTGAGCAGGCTACTTATCCAATGCAACATACCTCTGCGGTCCAGTGTAGGTTTGGAGGTGCTGAGGACTTGAGGCAGACATGTGCCCATGTCCAGATCAGCCAGAGTCAGCTCATTCATGAAGTATGGCAACTATGATGAGACAAAACAACAACTTTTATTAATAGACAAGCAGAGTTCGTGTCAGACATACAAACTTTTGATAAATTAAATCTGTCTAAACCAGCCCACAGTAGTTAATTACTTGAAACAAATGAGCGGGCAGGGAAACCTGCAAGGTGTGTGTGAAGGACAGAGGGGTAAAATAGTGTAGTAAAAAGGATGGTGTGTGACAGAGAGGAGAGCAGAAAATGAGTAATGAGATGCTGCGGTGCCATCAGTGCTCCTCTACTCACTCCGCACCACCTGCCTTTAGAACCAGAGGGAGTGCATTATCAGCAGACTGTCTCTCTCTCTCACACACACATACACACACAGAGGAAAGAGAGCTGCAGCATTATTGTGCCTTAATGTCACATCTTTTGACCTTGTGCACACACCAGCGCTGATGTTCAGGTCGTCTCATCATGTTATTAGTCAGTGTGACATTGATGATGCTCTTGATGATAGCGTGAATATCAAGATGAATGTGAAAATGTGCAAACGACCAATTCTGCTGCCCAAGGACTTCAGTTACCTTGAAAAATAAATTAGCATCCTCATCTACCCTCACCTTGATCTTGCTGAGTTTCTTCTGGATCTTGTGTGCCACCTGATCGGTCCAGTACTTCTCCCGGAGAAAGTCCCAGAAGATTCTTCCCACCAGGGAGTTCACCCACGTGGGCTGGCCCTCGGCATGGCACTCCCCTGTCCCTGAACCAGCACTGGGCTCAGCTCCAGTTTGACCTCCAGATCCATGCTCTTCGTTCTGAGTCTGCAGGGAATAACAGAGAAATTAGAAGTTATATGACCTGATAGAACAGAGATGCAAATGCCATTTCTATGCTTATCTATCCCCAAACCCCATTTATGCTGACTCTCATGCAGCCAGCACCTCTAAACACCAGAACAGATTGTCTCTACGTGGGGTGCCAATCCCAAAACCACCTGAACCTGGATTAGCAGCTTGGTCGGGTATGCTGCAGATGTACCACAGTCAGTTCCTATTAATATCCTTCCAGCAAGGTGACACCTGATATTTCTACACGTTGACATTTAGTCTAGTCAGCAAGGATGTGTTTGGCTGAGCCAGCATCCTAGGCTGGTCTGAGCGCAGGGCAGAACAATGGAACAGTAGCTGATATTGACCAGCTCTGATCAATGGGAGTTTTGTAGAGTATTAGCACGACATGCAGGGGGGTAAGTAGAGCAGAGACAAAGTTCTGACATCTGCACACATGCCGCTAGGCCCGATACTTGATCTAAAAGCTAGATAAAAGTGTTCATTGACCTTCTTGTGGGTTGTGGGGCTTCCCTTGTCACTATGACAAGGGCTGGTGATGGGATTGCAACTCTGTGAGATAATCAGTTGAGTCATGTAGGTGCTGTAGTCCAATAGTGTTCTTGTTTTCATAGCTCCGGGCAAGTCGTGCAGCTCCTCTGTGGTTTCTTTAACAGCGTCTCCACCACATGGTGTTTCTGAGGAGCAGAGAAAAGACAGACATGAAGGAAAGGGCTTTTAAATATAACTCGGGGAAAGACATAAATAGTTGAACTCTGCATGAATCTGTCCTTGCATCAATTCAACAACTAAACGCATGTTTAAGACAAAAAGGTATTTGCTATCTACATACAGTGTTTCACCTCGCTGAATTGCTTCCAATCACCGTGAACCGAAACATATCCTTACCTGTGTTCTCCTCCCCACTCACGCTGCTTTTGGCTCCAGCCCGAGAGGCAGACAGGAAGTGCTGGAACCACTCCTCCTTCTCTCGACCTGTGCGGCCAAACAGGTACAGGGTCACAGGAAGCTGATGGTCTGGGACGAAGTGTCTCTCTGACCTTTCTTCCTCCTCCTGCCCTTCAACCACACTCTCCTCCCCTACCTCCCCCTCAGCCAGAGTGATGCAGACAGGGTATTTCTTGTTCCACACCCTTTTGCGAGCCAAACCGGGCGGCAACAGGGAGACCTGCGATAAAATAAAAACAGGGGAGGAATGATAAAGTAAGAGTGTCATTTTCTTTTTGTCTTTATTTTCTTCTTCTATTTTACAAAAGATGCTGGCAGGCAGGAATTGTGTTGACAGTTCACCATTGCCAAAGCGCTCCCCGAATTGATTAAACTGTGTGTTAGCATTATTCTATTACCCTATTGGAAGCTACTGTTGCCTGCCTCAATAATCGAATGGGACAGTAGCTGGGTCAAGTTTATTCAGACAATCATCACTTTAGTCATAATCCTTCTGGTCTTTCACCTCCGTGTTAGATGACAATGTGGGTGCAGAGTGAAGAGTTCAGGTCACCTTTTCTCTCTCTTTTAACACTGAGGGACTGAAGGACATGGCTGATCTCCTGGGACCCAGAAAATGAGCAAAAGCACTAACCTTACAGTTAGCCAGCTGGTAAGTGCGTGAGCGCAAAAACAAGGCCTCATGGGGGGTCTCATCGAACCCTGCCCACCGGGGGATGTTGGCACGTGGATATGCCAGGTGCAGACGGCTGCCTTCCAGGGTGACATAGACAGTGTGTGTGATGGAGGGATGGAAAGTCTCAGGGTCGTAGCTGTTTGTTTCATTCATCCAGCCCTGGAGGAAAACATTGCAAGTAGTAGTCAGTTATTAATCACTTTTTTCCTTTGAGAATTGAACTGAAAACTGTGTTGAGGCTATATTTAAATGCATTTAGCTGACAATATAAGTATATATCAGAAAATCTAGCAACGTCTCTACTCAGCCAAATGAAATTCACAGTGAGTGGTACAAACTGCAACAATACAGCTCAGCAGGAGGGGAAACATGAGACACGGCAGAATACATCTGTCTCATTTAACACAGTGGACAAGTCTTTGAAATAGCCTACAGCCTTCTGTTAGTAACTCCTCTATCCTCATAAACTTTACCTTATTTAAACCTGCCAAATCAGCATTTATTGAGACAGCCAGCCTCCCCATCAGCAGAGCTGTCAAGAAGTACTTGAAGTAGAAATAGAAAAGCTATTTTCAAAATAACCTGTTCCTAAGATGCTGAAACTGCTGTGCTTGAGGGTAGTTTTTTTTATTAAGTAATTACCTAAAAACAAATCCATTAAGCAGCACTGATAGCACTATCTTTAGTACCATCCAATGACTCACATGGCTGCTGTTGTTTGTTGGTTTGATCTCTCACCCTGCAGAACAAACAGTAGGGCTTGAAGCTCATTTCCATACAGGCAAATCAGTAAACTAAACAAGAAGTAGTTAGAGCAGCTGTAGAGCTTTCTCTGTATAGAGTGCAATATTAAGGCCATGCTAACAGCTCTGTGAGGCTGTATTTACTTGTGCTTTGAGCTAAATGCTAAGGTCAACATGCTAAAATGCTGATCTTAAGCAGGTATAAGCTTTACCAGCGTCACCATTTAGTGTGTTAGCGCGCTGACATTTGCTAATTAGCACAAAGCACAGGTAAGGCTGGTGGTAATTCAGTTTAGCGGGTATTTGTTCATGACAAACATAACAGGGGTGGTCCAACCCATAGATATAGAAATGTTTCTATATCTGTGGTCCAACTGACACTGCCATTCCTGGCACCACGCTGCTAACATGGCTTAAAAGATATGCACGGATTATTTCTTTTAGAACTTAAATGTC